TCTTTCACCAAGAAATCTTTACTATATCAATGAGTATACTCATAAATTTATATCAGTAAAAAAGCTAAAGAAGCTATTGATGAGTGATATAAAGAAGCTAAAGAAACTGAGATTGTGATAAATGCTGATTAGCTACTAATAAAAAAATGAAAAGAAAGGTTCAAAAAAAAGGTGGGAAACAAAGAAGTGATTTATTTACCATTTATTTATATAATTATTATAGTGTTTGCTTTTTCTTTTAATTAATTCTTTTAATTAATGTAATAAAGATATGCGAATTTAACTTTACAATACACCCAAAGCCTAATATGGCGAAAATTATGTAATATAACATATAGCAGTGATTCTTTTGCAATGTATATGACATGCTTTCATAGGCCATTTAATGTGAGTCTCTGTGCCATACTAATTCATTGCTTTCTTACACAAATGAACAAATTAATGAAAACATTTCCCAGTGTTATAACTTATAACGGTATGTAATTTATTATATAATGTGCCTGACTTTTGCATTATCACATCATGGGAGCAATCAAAAATCACGTGAATATTCAGGCATTTTTGGACTAAAAGTTGGGTTAGACTTAATATATCTTTCCAAAAATCCGCGCATATCAGCATATGCTAATAAACGAGACATCCACCTGAACACTTATCTTCTTTATTCTATTCATCCATATTAATAAACCGGAACTTCAGTACGGATTATCAATTTAAGCCATCCCCTAGCACATCAAGATCATCTGACATTTTGCAAACGCGTATAAATGCGCGTAATTCTACTATTTTTCATTATCAGCGTTTTTTCGCTCATTACCAAATAAGTTTAGCAAAAATTCTCGTCACAAGTTATATTGATAGTTTTGTTAAGCACGAAAGAAGTGCCTGCGATAGAGTATAGGAAGTTATGGCGAGTCGCCATCAAGCGGCGGCTGGCCTTAATTGAAGGACTGCTCGCTTTTAGTATTTGCTTGACAGTTGACACTTCTAATTACGATAACACTTACAATTCTCCTTTTTTTCGTTAAGCAATAATAGCAATAATGGGAAAGAAAAAACATGTAAGAGTTGCCAGGAATTAAAAATAAACTGGACCTTAAACTGATTCTCCAGAACCAACTCCAATTGGATTTTTTTCGCTTAATTCATCCGCCGTCACGTATTGAAAATTAAAAAATGATTTGGTTTTGTCTTAAGTCGTAGTATAAAGGGTGATAAGCTCGATGTATGTATTTAAGCATGGCAATATTGACGAAATATAAAGTGTTTTTAATGTCTGTTCTCCCACAAATAGGAAGAAATTATACAAAGAGATTGGGAGATTGGGAGATAAGGTTAAAAGAAAAACGTATGTTTGAGTTATAGTTGCTCTAGATTCTAGCTTGCCGAATACACCACGACACAGGTCTGCGCATTCAACAAGATCTCAACTATAATTAATGTAAGTCATTTATCGGTGTGTATGAACTGGAGTTCTTTCGAAATTACTCAAAAATATTTTACTGTAGATTATCGGCGGTAGGCTGTCGCAGAAAGATCGGCCTTTTCTGTGTTATCATTATTAATGCTTTACCATTGACATGATTAGAAACGAAAGCATGATGACCCGTCGGAAATGAAACAATTATACCCTCAGAATTCATTTATAGAATTAGCCAAAGTTTCCATTGAAGAAGTTGAGATTGAAAACCAGATAGTCAAAAAATTCAGAGGGCAAGAACCAGAAAGGTGATTGGAGAGAATGATTGGAGAATGTTTTAGAGGTCAGTAAAATGGCTACCTGTAGAAATAATCGTCAAATGGTTATACTTAATTGTTGTCCTCAATAGAGAAAGTCAGAATAAAAATTGAGTCCCATGCATACGGCTATGATACGATACATTAAGTTGTTATTTTAGTAGTCAAGACATTTCATTCTATCCATGTAATAATATCAATCAATCAATTTAGCGTCAACAAAATAATTGATGTTCTCGGACTATTGATGAGACTGGATAGTCAACAAATTATTTCCGCTGTTTACCTTCCTCCAAGAAATAAGATACTATTCCATTGGTAAGCACCATTTTTCTGGAATTTTTACCACTTATAAAACCTAACTACTTATGTATTCAAACCCATAGGATCGAACATGATATCGAGTCTACACATGTATAACAACGGAAAAAAGGTCTTATATCATCAATTCATAGCCGACATGTATAGAGATGGTATCAATGAGCCCTTCACTACATTCCATGAGAACTATACACATTGGACAGGCAATCCAATGACTAAGAATTTTGTATCGCGCGCCCTGGGAGCGATTGGATTAAAGGCAAAGATGGTGATAATCAACTTTGAGGGACGCAAATGTCTTGTCAGTTTAAACAAGGGAAGAATGAAAGCGGACATAGTAGGAGTTCGTCTATCAGAGGTTGTGTTCCTCGAAATGAGCAGTGCGCCAATAGACTTCTTAAATATTCACGCTGTTGGGAATTTCGCTTTCAATTTTTGAATTCTTTGAATTAATGAAAATTGTAATACGATCTATTTTAGAGACTCAAAAAAATTGTATTATGATCTATTTTAGAGTACTCAAAGGAATTAATGAAACATCCAGCAAAATCGTCCGAATTTTCCATTCGGCACTTTATAACATAATAAATTATTAATAATGATATCAAAAAGAAACTTATTATACATAAGCAAATATGCATACCTTTAATATTTTTTTTTATGCTAATTCTCGGCGTTCTGAAGAGAAGTGCGCACATGATTTTTTACCGGGATGGCTGACCTGATTCAATCTAGCCATATTGGTCCCGAAACTTTGAATGACACACACGTGATTTTTTACCGGAATAGCTGACCCGTTCAATCTAGCCCATATTGGTCCCGAAACTTTGAATGACACGCACGTGATTTTTTACCGGAATAGCTGACCCGTTCAATCTAGCCGAAACTTTGAAGACACTTTTTCATACCCAGTATAATAATCATAAATCAGCTGTTAGGTTACATAAAAAATATACACGTGATTTACGTGACGGATCATCTAGCTTTCGTGTATATCCGACATCCGACAGTAAAACTTGTATGGTACTGTATAAACAACCTGAAATTATTTATCGTGCGAATAATATTTCAATTAAAAAAATTAAATTAAACTATAAAACAGGAATGAGAACAAGTTCTCAATAATACTGTAAATGGGCACAAAAATCTGTGTAAGTAGACGAGAATAAAGTACAAGTAAAAAACTCAAACTAAAAAAGGCACAGAAAGAGAATATTTGTACTCTCAAGATAAAAAAAACATGAATTTTTTAGGATAAAATTAAAAATTATGATTATTATATCATTATTATGATTTGTAAATCGATATTATAAAGTTTTTTAACATTATCAGTTATATATTAGATATATTAGAATGATATTTTTCTTTCTATATCAAAATTGGTTAATTGTTTATTATAATTATAACCAATAGGATCATTTCCAATGATACTTATCCGTAATCATAACGATTTCACGCTAAAATATTAAAAAGATCGGTCCGAGAATACAAAAAAAAAAGACAAGAATTTTTGGGACCATTAAGGCAAGACCGATCAGTCTTACTAATATTAAAAAATAAAATAAAGTAAATATTAATCACTAATTACAATGAGAAAGACCATCCATTCACATAGAACCATGTGAGATCTGTACACGCGAAAAAAAAATAAAAAGTTCAAAACTACAAAGACTACACCAAAAAATTGGACCCTATCATAACCAGTTCCAACGAAAACATAAAAACCTATTATTCGTTATTAACACATATATATATATTTTTTTTTTACTTTTAAATCGAAACTAATTAACTAATTATAAATATTATAATATTATCATTAAAAAAATCAAAAAAAATTTTGATTGGCCTTTTTCTATTTAGTTGGATTTTCAACATTTCTTGGGGTAATTTACAAGAAAATTAATACATATTGTAAAACTGTTACACAAAAATGTCGATGTGACGCTATAATGCATGTTCACTACCGAATATTTTTTTTCTTTCGAAGCAGATAAAAAAAAAAAAAGCGGAGAACTATGCATCATTTTTAAATAAGAAAAAATACGAAATAGGAATACAACAACTTAATATTCACTTAATATAGTTAACGGGTAATCGGAATACGGAAAGTCGGAAACATTTTAAAATGATTTTTTCATTTTCATTATTTTTTTCATTACGCATATAATATATTATGGAAAGTCTTGGATTAAAATAAAATTCGTGTAATTCTGACATAATAACTTTAAAAAAAAATCTTGGGAATTTTTCTTTTTTAACTGCGTTATTATTAATCGCTACGTTAAATTTCTGCGCCGCGTTTTCTTCAACGAAAAGAAAGAAAAGAAAAGAAGAAAAAAAAATGTTCAGTACTTTCAGCACTGATTTATTCCATTAAATAATTCTTTTATTTGATATGTTATTTATCGTATATTAAATAATTTCAATTTTTTTTTTAAAAAAATAAAAATTATTGAAATTTTTTTTTTTAAAATAAAATATAATAAATAAATAAATAAAAAA